ATATATTATATATTATTTGTTTTAGTAAGGGTTTACGGCACAGGCAACTGCATAAGGTCTATGAGCGCCAAGGGGTGGATGTCAACAGAGAAGTCATAACATAACAGGGAATCAGGCTTACTCTGCTCACCTCTCTAGTCTCTGGAAATAGCCTTTCATAAGAGAGTGATAAACATACTAAAAAGTAGAGGCAAAAATTATGACGATAGTGAGGATGAGGAAAGAAAGAGCAGCAGTTCCCCTTATGTTGTTCCGGCACAGTATGAGCAGTCAGTAGCACTGCCCTGGTGGAGGGATATATAATATATTATATATAATGTTTCTGTCCAAAGTTACTGTAACTCCTTAAATGAAAAATTTCGTAACATTTTATTCATCTATGAGTTAAGAAAAAAATAAAACAGGATAGCCCTCTTCGAGTACCAATCTTGCAGTGAATTTTTTCATTATCATAATATCTGTCACGAAGCGGTGGAATCATGCGCTCGTCAATTTTTGGGCATGTGGAGTTATTGGTATCACCTTAAAGCTTTCTCATTTGTCTCAATTTCAATTGAAAAAATAACCTTTTATTCTGAATAGAAGTCGAGATATTTGCGATTTAAGGAGGTAGGGGTTGTCTGGTTTCAGAAGTAAAAAAGAAGAGAGAAATGGCTGCCAAAGCTCGGTGACTTCCATAGCTGAAAATGTACATTTCTCTGTCTTTTCTCAACGTTTTTCCAGTAAAATCCCCACCGAAACCAATGTTTTTACATGAACATAAGATGTGTTCAGAAAAGAACCCAGGATAAAAACAGCAAAAGCTATGGAAAATGCTGCTATCTTTGATTTCATTATTTTGACGAGCGCCTGATTTCGCCGCAATGCTTTGCATATTATTATCTATATATTGTCTGCATCATTCCACAAGCCTAGAAGTAATTCCTTTGAAGGCTTGTGAAAAAACAAAACTACAAGAAAAGAGTACACAAGTCAGAACCATGACATCGGCCTTTGCTCTCTTTCAATTAAAAACTAGGAATGAAATGACGAAACTGAATGTATATATTTATTAAATTTGTAAGATGCCCCTTGATGTTTTTATTCCAATAACTGCCTCATCTGGAAAATTAGCACAAACTGTA